CCCTTCGCCCCCCCTGTCCTTTTACTCTCTGGAAAACTAGGGAGGGTCCCTTCTGAAATGCTTCCCCCACCCCTTTTCCTTCTGTGGGCTGAGACACCTTTTCCATACCCATTGTCCGGTCTGTGGCTCTCCCTTCCGTCTCCTAAGGTCATTCCCACAGACCATCTCCAAGCCCTTCTCCCTCCCTGTCCTTTTACTCTCTGGAAAACTAGGGAGGGTCCCTTCTGAAATGCTTCCCACACCCCTTTTCCTTCTGTGGGCTGAGACACCTTTTCCATACCCATTGTCCGGTCTGTGGCTCTCCCTTCCGTCTCCTAAGGTCATTCCCACAGACCATCTCCAAGCCCTTCTCCCTCCCTGTCCTTTTACTCTCTGGAAAACTAGGGAGGGTCCCTTCTGAGATGCTTCCCACGCCCCTTTTCCTTCTGTGGGCTGAGACACCTTTTCCACACTTTGCAGCTCTCCCTCCTGTCACCCACAGTCATTCCCACATACCATCTCCAAGCCCTTCTCCCTCCCTGTCCTTTTACTCTCTGGAAAACTAGGGAGGGTCCCTTCTGAGATGCTTCCCACGCCCCTTTTCCTTCTGTGGGCTGAGACACCTTTTCCACACTTTGCAGCTCTCCCTCCTGTCACCCACGGTCATTCCCACATACCATTGCAACTGCTTAACCATTCTGGCAATTAGGAATTTCCTCTGAATGATCCAGCCAGGTTCCCCTTTCTTTTAACCTCAACATCCCTGCTTTCAACAGAGATCAGCCCAACCTCCTTTCGCATGTGACAGCCTCTTAGATCTTTGTAGCTCACAGTCAGATCTCTTTTCAGTCTTGCTGTAGCAACGCTCTTGTAGTGGACAGGAGCTGATCTCCCAAAGAGTTGATCTTTCCAACATATACTTTTGTGATTTTCTTTTTTAAGCTAACCACGAACGGCTTGGTTTCCAGGTCCCGTAACATCCTGCTTGCTGTTCCCATTCCATTCCACGTCCCTGATTTGGCCCCAGAACTGGATCCAAACCCAGTCTAACTCGTGCAGAGTACAATGGAACAATTCTCGCCTGTGATTTGCTTCTGTTAATGCAGCCCCAGACAGCACTGGCCTTTTAAGCCGATGGGTTTTAATTTCCAGGCTGCCTTAGAATCTTTGAATTAGTTTGATATCTGCTGCGTTCCACTCTGATCTGTTGCAGTGTTCACATTGAATATTTTTCCATTTTAAGAATGTGAACGGCGATTCGGAAGGGTTTGCAAGCTGCCTTGGGAGAAGGAAGCTTTGAAGGGCCACCGGTACATTTTGAAAATAAAATGGAATAAAAAGGACTTTGTATCCCACAGTGGACAGCCAGTGACTCCGGACCTTGGGCAGGACTGGGCTGGTCTTACGTAGCAACTGACAGTGAAAGGCAGAAGTGCTGAAGATCCATTGTCTTCTGTTTTGTATCCCACCCTGCTCTAAGAATACTAAGCTTGTTTATTCACTCAGATCAACAACCAGGAAATGAGTTAATAAAATCACTAGGTTAAGCCTGTGTGAACAAAATTATCTCTGTTTAATGGCCACTTCTAAGCAGGAGTTTAATGTTTTCCAAAGCATGTTGCCTGTTAAGAGCATCAATTTATGGGTCTTTCTGTCTCATCCTCACTGCAGCACAGTTTAACTCAAGAACAGGGGTGTCTGTATGGTCAAAAAAGTCAAGACAGGGGCCACAGTGGTGCAATCAAAGTTCTCCTATTTTTAACATGTGTCATGTCTGAAACGTCTCATGATTGAGACAGACCCTACCAAGCTCCAAAAATCCCTTTCAGCTTTACCAGAAGTGATCTGATCAGGTCTCAACCATCTTGGCAGTTTTCAGTTTGAAACAGCCCATAAATGTCCAGGAAAAAAAGAACGCATGAGCTGAATTTTTGCCCACTTCTAGTAAAAACCCATTTAATTTCTCCTGGTCTAATCAACAGGAGGTTTGGGACAAAATGCGCGGCCTGTCAACAAGGCATTCCTCCCACCCAAGTCGTGCGAAGGGCCCAGGACTTTGTCTACCATCTTCACTGCTTCTCCTGCATCGTCTGCAAGAGACAGCTGGCCACGGGAGATGAATTCTACCTCATGGAGGACAGCCGGCTGGTCTGTAAGGCAGACTACGAGACCGCCAAGCAGAGAGGTGAGTTGGCCGAAGCAGAGAAAGAAAATGGTTTGGGTTCAGCTCGTGTCTTTTTCTACCTTGTTGCCTACAGACGTCTTCTCCAACTTGTCCTCCAAATGGGTGTGGATTCCCCCTCTCAAAATCTGTGGTTCCAAGCTAGAAAGTCATGGCGGGTAGATTTCCATGCACAGAAAGGTTGCTAAGCCACAGTACCCATAACTGTGGCGGGCGGAATAATTGCCTGGCTTCCGACTACACATGATGTCCTCTATTATGTAGTGTCTGCAAAGATCTAGGCAGCCTTGGTCAACCTGGATGCTTTAATGAATCCCTAAGGCAACCTCATGACATCTTTCCACAAATCTGGATGCAACCTGCAACTGCAGGCAAGCTGTTTACAGATTCAAAATAAGAAAACAGTGAATATGGTAGGTGCAGAACTTTAGGCACTATTCCACCCAGTGTTTTGTACCCTCTCTGGCAGAAATAACAGCTTCCAAACATTTTCTGTAGCCAGCTAAAAGTCTTTCCATTCTTGCTTATGGATTTTTTTTCCTACTCTTCCTTGCAGTACTCTTTTAGCTTAGAAATATTCTTAGATCTCCTTGCAGGCAATCCATGTATGAGACTTCCCCATAGATTTTCAAGAATATTCAAGTATAGAGAAGGCCATTCTAAAACCCTCCTTTTCCTATAAATACTTGGTTGATTTGGAGGTATATTGCCAATTGTTGCTTTCATGAAATATTCAAGCTCAGTTTTTGACTGTTAATACCTAGTTGATAGTTAGCTAAATCATATCTAACTTTGAACTATGTAGAGATAATCTTAGCTTCTGATCACATAGGGATTCAGTGAAACATACAATCAGACCAAGGGAGCCCAAACCTTTGCATGCCAACTGTATGGCATTCACAAAAAGTTTATCCCAAAATAAGCATGTTCTTCTTTAATATGCCATGGCATTATTCACAGGTTAAGCAAACGTTGACTGGAATATTTGTTCTGGCAAAAGAGAAGCAATTTTTAAAAAGGAATAAAAGCATGGATTTGGTATGCTTTAATATTTGAAGACCAAATAAAAGAAAACAAGGAGATACTTTAATTGATGCTTACTTTGGTGGTACTGCATTCTCTTAGTTCCTCTGGAATAAAACACACCTGGAACCATGCAGTGCTTGGCAGATCCTTCTACAATGTGGGCCCGTGGCCTGTGACCCTGGGATTAGATGTGGCCTCCTCAGTCTTTGGGGTGGGTTCTGAGGCCCCAGACCAAAGTTGTCCATGAATACTGTAGTAACTTTTCATGAGACAGAGAGGACATTCTTCAGCACATGGGATGTCAACCTGATGTAATTAATTCACATGTAAAGTAAATTTAAATGAAGATGAAGTCATTTTCCCTGGATTGTGTTTTTGCCCTTGGAATGTATCATCCTTGAATCGAGAGGATGTCCTGCACCAACTAGTCCAAGGCATTTGCCTCCATTCTTTCCTTTTAAGCCTGGAACTTTCTTCAAGAACATCTTCCAGATGTTACATCCCTGCCTTCTTTAAAAAATGTCGATCGAAACAGTAGCAATAATTGCAGCCAGTCATGCTGCTGCATCGGACCCCTTCCCAATCATCCAAATGGAGATTAGCTAAGAACAGTGGAAATCTTGTCAAATCACCACTTGAGCAACAGGAATCTTTGTTTTTTTGTGTTTATTTCAAATGCGTTCGTTGGATTGGAATCTTTGTTATTGTAAGAGGAGAGGCAGAGTCATCCATGGGGGGATTGGGGGAGGAGAGGTCAATAAAGTCAAGATGGTGGCTATGGCCACACCACTGAAGCTCTGTTCCTTTTTTACATGCATCACCCAGGCAATGTATGTAAAATAGTGGTGGGGCTTCCATCACATGGTCCCCACAGCCAACTTGAACTTTTTCATGCCCCCAGCACCCCGTTCACAGACAAACTCTTTCCGACTTTTACACTTTAACTCTTTGGAACATTTGCAGAGGCTGAGTCCACGGCGAAGCGACCCCGCACGACAATCACTGCCAAACAACTGGAAACCTTGAAAAACGCGTACAACAACTCGCCCAAACCAGCTCGACACGTGAGAGAACAGTTGTCTTCCGAAACAGGCCTGGATATGAGAGTTGTCCAGGTGGGTGATAGCTCTGGAGATGAGAGGAAAGGTAACCGAGCTGACCAAGATGAGGGGTGGAAGGTGAAGCCCAGACGGCCGTTGGAAGAAGAATTAGAAGTTCTGATCCTAGTTTGTGGGCAAGGGCATTTCCCCAGGAGCAGAAGGGAATCTCCCATGATTTCTCAAAAGTAGCTCCCACCCGTTGGTAGGGGCACTAATGGTGGGGTTGAAAAAGTACCGTCTGGAGGAACTTCTCCTGATGTCTTCTAGACGGGACGAGAGATCATGGGGCAATGCGAAAAAGGACCTTTGCATCCCGCAGTGGCTGTCTTACCACTAAGGAAGAACAGCCACCCATTTGGTGGGTGAGAATTGCATCTTTTCTTGAAAGCAAATCTAAACTGAAGGAAATTTGGGTGGGGGGAGGCAGAAAAAACTCCCTGTTTGGCACTGGTGGCTATGGTTCCAATGATTATTGCTGGAAAAATTATTCCTCCAATTATTGAGAGTCAGATGGTACATACATTTAACAAATCATGGTTGGTTGCACAGTCAGCCAGATGTTTAGACTGGATTTGGCATTTTTGTCCACCTATCAAGTCCTTTCGAAGGACCTGGGAAAGGCAGATGTTGTTTGATGGCGTTAAAGGTATCATTGCAGGATGGACGCTGTTCCAAGTAAAGCTCTCTTACAATGGACTGACGGTGATTTGGTCCATGCTGAGGGTCTTCAAGGGGTGCTCCAGATGTTTTGGGATGGCACCCAAGGCACCTATTCCTATTGGCACCATCTTTGCTTCCTTTTGCCACAGTCGTTCTACTTCTATTTGCAGGTCTCTATATTTTGTGATTTTCTCCAGTTGTTTTCAATAACTAATTATTATTATTCAATAAAAAGATTATTATTACTCAATAACAGATGTATTATTATTCCTCCAATTACTGTTATTACTGTTGGAAACCTAGAGCATTCCAAAGAATCTTGGGGTTTTGGAGAGATCTTAGAGGCCACCTTCCTCATTAAGATAGGATCTGTTACGGCTCATCTCAGACCGGAGATCCTCCAGCCTCTGCCTGAAGTCCTGTGATGGAATGGAATTATGAAGGCCAAGCTCAGGGAGGTAAACATTTTCTTAGCTCACCAGAACCGCGTGAGAGGAACAAGAGGATGAGACTGGCATCTCCCTGAGGAATTCACACTGTTGTGGCTGGCTGGCTTGGGAGCTGGGGTTTCAGTCTGGG